TTGGTAGCCAAGGGATTCACTCAACAAAAATAAGTGGATTGTCATGAAACTTTCTCCCTGGTTGCTAAAATGGTAACTGTCAGAACCCTTCTAGCTCTAACTGCCATTAAAGGATGGCATCCCCAACAATTTGACATCAACAATGCTTTCTTTCATGGAGAGCTTAATGAGGAAATTTATATGAAGTGGCCTCATGGATATAATAAACGCAAACCTAGCCAGGTCTGCAAACTGCTTCACAGCCTTTTATGGCCTTAAACAGGCTTCTAAGAAATGGTATTCTAAATTTTCCACTTCCCTTATCTATTTTGGCTTTATTCAATCCAAATCAGATTATAATTTATTCACCCATCCTCATGGAGAACATTTGGCTGAACTATTAGTATACGTTGACGACATAGTTGTGGCCAGCAATTCCCTTGATTCAATTAATGTCATCAAAGAGTTTCTAAACTAGCATTTCAAAATCAAAGACCTTGGGCATTTACGTTAGTTTTTTGGCCTCAAGGTAGCCAGGTCTCCTCTTGGCACTCACCTTTGCTAACGTATATACACCTTAGACATTATGGCAGACTCAGGTACACTAGGATCAAAACCTACCAAAATCCCTATGGAACAAAACCATTCACTTAGCAAAGACTCTAGCCTTTCTTTATCTGATCCTAGTGTTTATCGAAAACTCATTGGCCGCCTCTTGTAACTTACTATAATCAGACTAGACATTAGTTATAGTATAAAAACTCTTAGTCAGTTTATGGCTTATCTTTTCACTATTCACGTTGCTGCTGTAAACAAAATTTTCAAGTACTTAAACGTGCTCCTAGGCAAAGAATTATTCTTTCTTCATCATCTTCCCTTAGCCTCAAAGGGTATTGTGATTCAAATTGGGCCTTTTTCCCTAACACTAGACAATCTCTCACTGGTTTTTGCATCTTCTTGGGAGATTTTCTCATCTCTTGGAAATCCAAGAAGCAAAGTGTTGTCTCCCCTTGTTCAGCTGAAGCACAATACCGTGCCATGTCTATCACTTGTTTACAATTCACCCACATCCTGCCATTCTTTTCTGTGATAATCAGGTTGCATTGCATATAGCTGCCAACCCTGTTTTTCACAAATGTACCAAACATATTGAAGGTGACTACCACTTGATTCGCAACAAAATTTAGGAAGGGAGCATTAAGACTACTCATGTCTCTACACATTCTCAACTGGCTAATATCTTTACCAAGTTTCTGCTATCCCACATCCTCTCATCTCAGCTTTCGAAGATGGGAATAACTAATATATATTCTCCATCTTGTGGGGGGTATTAGGAATTAGTTAATTTGATTTGCCACATGTATATTCTTTGTCCTTTATGTTTTGGTTTTTTTTTTTTTTTTTTTTTTTTTTTTTTTTCTATATATATAGATCCACATCTGCTCCCTCTAAATTGTTTCAAGAAAATTAAATGAGAATATAATAATTGCATTTCTTCCTCTCCCAATCTTTGTTTCCGCTGTGTTGACTTTTTTTACATTACTAATTACGCAAAAAGAAGCATTGTCTTATAATGTTTCCAATGTATGGTATTCTAACATTATATATGACATGCACAAATATCATTTGGAAGTGAGCCGATTGGCTTTCCATTTTCTAAGTATTCATATTTTCATTTATACTATATAGTTTTGAAATTGACGCTAGGTTTGAGTTCTTCAAGTAAGCAAAATAATGTAAGTTGATAGATGTTAATTAGTTTTTGCTAACCACAAATACACCTTAATCGAGAACTATTACAGTAATTTTTGTACTGTTCAATTTTCAAAATACACACAAGCATATTATTTTGATTTATTTAGATCAAAATTTTGAATTCTCATGCATGTTTCCAATATTCTTGACGTGAGGGGTTCATTTTCACTTCCAAAATATTGATCCTACCTAGGGATGTAAACGAGTCGGGCCGAGCCGGCTCGCGAGCCTAAAGTTTCGGCTCGGGCTCGGCCCAGGCCCGGTTAAAATGACCGAGCTTTTTTGCGGGTTCGAGTTGCTCGGCCAAAAAAAAAGGCTCAGCCCGAGCTTTTGCTCGGGTTTTTTACGGGCCGAGCCGGGCAGGCTCGTTTTCTCCCCTTTTTTTTATTTTTAATTTTTTTCCTGCTGCCTTATATTAAGGCAGCAGTTTTGGCCTTAAATTTATTATTATTATTTTTTTAAAAGCTTGCGAGTTCACGGGCCTGCTGGGGCAAAAGCTCGTGTCCCCAAAATGGGGCTCGGCCCGAGCTTAGGCTCGGGTCTACCGAGTCCCGAGCCGGCGAGCCCGATTGCCATCCCTCATCCTACCAAACATGTTACTTTCCATAGTATGTATCCATCATTTTTTTTTTTTATTGCATCTCCTTTTTTCTGAATACATTCTTTTACAATAAATAGCCATATCGTAGATATAACATTCAGAGACGGATATGGGGGGGGCTGGGCTGTAGCCCCCCCAGGTCCAAGAGTTTTTTTTTTTTTAAGGTATTTTTTATTTTTTTTGGGGTAAAAAATCAGTTTTTTATGTGTAAAATTTTTTTTTTTTCACGTAGTGACCCGGTTTGAAAATTTGTAGCCCGGTCATGGATCCAATCCTGGATCCGTCCCTGATATTACTACCATGACATTTGATTTACAAAACGAGATTTGTGTGAAAATCAATTTTCCATATTGAAGATGTTGCTTAGCATGGTTGAATTGCTTCCTCGAACAAATTTGTTTAAGATGTTTACAAAAATTTTAATTGAACAAATGTCTTATTTATCAATATATGTCTTTTTTGCCATTATATTGGGAAAAATTTGCACAATTTTTAGAAACTAAACTTGGTTCACATGCTTATGTATTAAGAAGGCGCAAGTAAACCATAAAATTGGTGCTCGAATTATTACGTTGCACACTCGTCTCATGCATCGTATGATGACCGAGTCCATGATGAGATACACGGGTTATAGTTCTTTTCACTTTGCATTGAACTTCCTCTTTCTAGACCGGTTAAGTTTTCATATCTTTAACGGAAATTCCATCAATGATCATTGATGATTTGAGAGTCAGGATTGAGCCAGAAAATAATGTTAGGATGTGTTGAAATTAATTTTTTTTTTAATGAACTCACGTCACAAGAGGCTAAATTCATGGCATTCACGACAAAGAGTACACAACACTCAATGAAATAAAAGAACTCTAGATGTTTCACTCTTAGATATTCCACTAAGCCCCTGTTTGGCCCCCATTACGGGGAAAATTTAATGTATAGAATAGTGTTTTTTGAAAAATGAGTGGTTGAAAAAGAAAGAAAAATTTTCGATTTACGTGTAATATTATTTTATGGAAGACTGTGTGGTTGAAAATAGGAGAGAGAAAAATAGAATGTAATGTAATGAAAATCAAACAAGGGCTAAATCTTTTTATATTTTTTACCAAATAAAAAATCGACTTATGTTAAAAAAATATAATTAATTTTACCGTGATTGGAATAAACAAAGTATACATATCCACCAATGAAAAAAAAATTATTTAATGAATACTATTCTAAATAAATTTAACGACCTGTATTTTCAAACAACTAAAAGATTTGGTAGAAACACACAGTGAATAAATACAACACTATATGTTATTGTCTTAAAATACAATTTGGTATGAACAACAATCTTCTATATCACTTCATTTCATAGTGAGTGGGGAATCACATCTAAAGAAAAAAACGGACTAAGAATTATGAGGATTCAAAGAAATTATATTTAATTCATGTCCATACTTTGTTCAGTTTAAAGAATATACTTATATAGAGTAATTTATAAATAAAGAAATTTTAATAAATATTCTTTTTATTGACGATCAAATCAAGAGCGAGTTATTTATTTTGATCATAACATCTATTTCATGGTCAAAATAATTAATTTTTTTTTATAAATAAGAATATGTAATTATGAAAACATATGAAGAAATAAAAAATTAATTACTTTTAAGTTTAGCAAAATATGTAGTGTATAGTGTCTCTTAACTATTAAAATAAGTAACTTTTAGATATGATCAATATAAATTTTCTATTATAAAGTTTGCTTAATTACCATAAGTAAATTCTTGTTTGAGCCACATTATTTTCAAAAAAAATATATTTTTTCATAGTGATTTGACATCATTTCAACCACACATTCTTCAATAAAATAATATTACACACAAATTTAAAATTTTTTCTTATTTTTTAACAACATATTTCTCATTGATTTGACATGAATAATGCATTTTTTCCTAGGATGTGGCTCGAACATGGGCTTAGTCAAACACGCGTTAAAGAAAATGCCTAATTTGAAAATAAGATATTCACATTTCATAAATGTCATGAAAATAGTATTTAATAATTATAGCATCTTTGACAAAATTTAATTAATTGAGCATTGAATTTGAGTTAGAATTCAAGCTAAAGTTGGACCAATTCAAATATTTGAATCAAAATTGAACAAATTATTCTTAATTACAGAAACTTACATGTAAACAAAAATAAATATTTATGTCCCAATAAGTATAGATACTATTATTTGTTTTTCTTATTTTAACTTTAAACAAGAAAATATTTTTAGCTTAAAAGAAAGTATTTTTCTCCTTTTCCTCTTTTTCCAAAAATAATTACATTATTAAATTTTGTAATTTTTTGAAAAAAGAAAAAAATAATAACGAGTATTAACAATTTCATTTTGGTTTGAATGCTTTTTTTTTTTTTCATTTTTCTTTTTAATCATATATTTTTTAATAAAATAATATTACCTCAAAATTTTTCATTATTACTTAATTACGCATTTTTTATAAAATTACTATTCTAAAATATATTTTTCACTAAAATCTCATTAAAATGAAGTCCAAACATTATGCTCAATTGACATTTCCTTATATTCTAAAATAATATTACCGGTAGAAAAACAAGTTTTATGGGAAGTTTCTATAATTTTTTTATAATAATTATTAATTACTTGAAAAGCCCCCACCACCCCTAATACTTCGATTAAAACAAATACAATGTTTTTGGATTGAGGAAAATCCATTTGAAATTAATAATTACTGTCTAATACGGAGTATTATGCTGTAGTAGCATAATTTTTGCTCCCATAAAATGCCGCCCACTGAAAATCCCACCATGAATTCTCATTCTAACTCCAAATCTGAAGCTGAGTATGAAGAAATTGTTCAAGACCCAGATGTTTTCTCGCAAAAGCTTCAGGACTTTCACGTTCTCTATGGCTCCAAATTTAGGTTTATTGGGATTCTGCTCATATTATTTCTCCGTTCGTTTTCGTTTTCGTTTTCTTGTGGGTGTTATTCTTTTTGACTTTCTTCTGGGTTCTCGATGTTAAGATTTAAGGGGGTTTTTTCCCCTTAATTTTTCTGTTGCGAAGTGTATTAACTATTATCTGCATTTGCATGTTAATTAGCCAGTGTTAAAATTGTTCGGTTTGTTGCTTGTGATGCTTCCGTGCTGATATTTGTTTTTGTTTTTGTATTTTTTTTTTTTTTTTGTTTCAGTATGTATCTTTTGTGTGAAGGCAACTGTGCTACAGAATTAGTTGTTTGAGAGTGAGAATTTTTCTAGTTGCACTGGTCTTCTTCGTTATTTATTTATTTATTTTTGTTCTCCTTGCTTGTTGTGACTACTATATTAGCATAACATTAGTTTGGAGGATATATGTTTTTTCCTTGTTGATAGTGTGAAATCAGAAAATGGAATAAATTACTGACCTTGAAACATGAGTGTATGTTGCAATGGTGATAAAAAGCGATATACCAAGCATTCATGACTTTGTGGAGAGGAAATCTATGTTTTGATGGGATCTGGTTCATGAACCGTCTGAATTAGATTTGACACTGAGGAATTTAACAGAGTTCTGCATGTTACTTGTTCAAATGTCCAAATTGAGGAATGATGGTGTACATGAGTTTAGATTTTGCTATCATACTTCTTTTATGGTTAATAATCTCATCGGCATGTTTTAGTCCCGTGTATCTTACTTGTTTATGACATGAATGGTTCACCTACATAACTGCTTTGACATGAATTGAAAAGATCATAAACCTATAAGATGGTTAACCAATTACTTTAATCTCCTATTTGAGAAGTTCATCATTTACTGTGTAGGATCCCCACTCTGGGAGGAAATCCTTTAGACCTACATCGGCTTTTTGTGGAGGTGACCTCTCGAGGTGGCATTGAAAAGGTATGCTTTTTTTTTTTCTTTCAGTATACATAATATGGCCATGAAATTTATACATTCCTTGAAAGGATGCTTTTACCTAACATATGAACTGCTAGTTATAGCTCAGCCTGCTAGCCAATTTAAAGTATGAAGCCTGCTAGATATTTTCAATATATAACTTAGTATAAATCATCCATTGAGGGAAAAGTGCAAGAGAGAATTATTTTCACTTCAAAAATCTAGATACCCTATATTTGAAAGTATCATCATTAATTTTCTCTTAAATCATAATTGTGAAAAAATGATTAGATTTTTCTTTTACATAATAAATATTAATGACTTTCATTTATGAAAAGAATTTATTAATATTTTGTATGCTTGACAAAACAAACATAAGATAATTAGATTAAATATTAACTTTATTTCAAAACGAAGTTAATATATGCATGTGTTTGTACTAAGGTGTCTCACTACAATTAGTTATCTCAAATCATCTTGCATTTATCATCTTATAAAAAACGTCGAGGGACATGGAATGAGTTAACATCCAGTAAGCAAATCCCATGCATGTCACGCATGTTTATGATATGCATGTATTTACACTTTCAAATTATGTGTTTCTTTTTCTTTCATCTTTTCTTTAAAAACATTAACATTGTGAGATCACTTAGTGTATCGTCTAGCCTATCAAAATGGTACCACAAGACCTTAATATTAAGTATCATCCTTTCATGTTATCATTAGTCGGATGCATCGGTCCCACACACCCCATTTCCCACTCTCACCTTTCATAGCATAGACATATACTTCTTAAAATTTTGGGATACATATCTGCTTGAAAATATTATTTGTCACATTATCATTTAGAACTTTTCATTTCTTGAAATTTTACTTTATGTATGCTAATGGATGCATTGACATGCACATAACATGAGATGTATTCTAAATTAGATATAGCAAATACTATCTAAAAATATAAAAGCATGTTCCTAAGGCATATGTAAATAAATCTTACACAAGTAAAAGCACATAATCCTATTTTACATTAACTGTAGAAACAACTTCGTAAAAATTTTCTTTTCCTTTTCCAATCAACATGTAAGAGTCAATTACGTATATAAATATATGTTACTGCATATTACATTTATGACTGGCAACAAAATGTAAAAACTACATGGTATAGAAATTAATATAAATATCAGGTCAAGATTTTACCTTTAAATTGACAATTAGCATACTTTAAACTTTAAATCACAAAGTAAAAACTTTTCTAATTTCATGAAAATATCTTTGTACTGATGTGAAGTGTTGGAGAAACGGAGGAGAGAATGTGACATGTACTTGGAGATGGAAAATATGAAGAATAATCGTAAGAGTTGTTTAAAGATAAAAGATATCAAGGGACAATGTGTTTTCATTTATTCATCGTTTACCACTATAGACATTTGACCATGTAAAGGAAATTAACGGGGTAAATAAAGGCTCAATCATGAGCATTGGCAAAAATCCATATGTTTTCCTGCATTAACATAACTAAAATTAAGTCGAGTTAAATGAAATTTTCAAGAACCAATCTAAGGAAAAAGGACCATGATTCTTCCAATACAATATGGCAGTCACGTTTTTCTCTTTCTTTCTTTTTAATTTTATTTTAATTTATTTTGTAGAAATAAGCATGTGAGGTTTGGCGGGCAAAGAATGCAAAAAATTCTGGAATTAGTTTAGGGAAAATGGTCCACACTTTAAAACTATTTAAGGCAAACTCAAAACTCTTATTATATTAAGACAAACTTTTCTCTCATATTTTATTATTAATTACCTTCCAAAATCATTTGGACAATGCAATAATTATGTTTGTATAAATAAAAACACATGCATAATTCAGCATCCAGTAAGTAAAAATAGTCATGATTATAAATAGAAATACTCCTTGAAAATTGGTAAGCTATTTATCACACTCATTTTTCCGAAAAATATTATAAGCACATAAGCTCAGAGTCAACTGCCATCAGTTATCAAATAAAAGCAAATTGCAATAATAACATTAAAGGTGTATTTAGCTATTTATATTAAAATATGACTTGAATTCATCACAATGCAGTAAGTACTTCTCAATTGGGCACTTGACGTCGTCAGAGTATATCTGGACCATCCACTGTAATAATTTTAATTTATAACAACTTTATAATTAGACAATCAAATTAAAATGTAAATAAATTCACGACATACTTAAAGAACATAAATATTGCACTAATTATATGGAGCCCTAGATGGTGTGGTGTTACACAAAGATTGTGAAAATTTGACGGAATAGGAAAATTGATTATTGGAAAATAGAGAGTACAAATTTTTGGAATCTATCAGGCTTGCATAATTTCTATCTTAGACACGATTTTGTGTATTCTAAATTACCATTTTGGCTTGACTGAGCTATATGAGATGTAGACATTAGAATCCTTGTTTTTCTTTTATTTTGGGTTTGAGATGTCCAAGTGTGATAACTGAACGATGAAGCTTTGATCAAAGAGTGCAGGGCTTTAGAATTCAGTTATCGAAGAGACATCCCTCTTCGATATTTTCATAGAACTTACATTTTTATCAGCACCAAATAGCAGATATTTATAGTTATACTATGAAAAACATGTCAAAAACGAAAAGGTTAAATTGCTGCATAATCCTCTTATTTTTTTTTTTGGATGACCGTGGGTATCTGGACTAGTTTACGCGCACCTCGACTAATTCTACGGGCCCTGAAGTTTACAGCCTAGTACTCATCTCAATGGTCATGAGAGGACTCGAACTGGTGACCATTGAGGAGTAGACTCAAGGCTTGACCTCTGAGCTATCTCTCAGGATTTGCACGATCTTATTTATTAGCTTTATGTTGTGTTAATTATGTTTCTTGTTCTTGTGAAATAGTTTAAGTTCAGTTTACTTACCTGGAAAAATGCATAATTAATTTGATTTCACATTGATGTGCATCTTTTCCTCATAGTTTCCATCTCTTACGTAACTCTTTACAGGTTATTAGAGATCGTAGATGGAAGGAAGTTACTGGGGCCTTCGATTTCCCTTCTTCCATAACAAGTGCATCATTTGTTTTGCGGAAATACTATCTGTCATTGCTTTATCACTTCGAACAGGTCTATTATTTTCGGAAAGAAGAACCGTCTATCTCAGTATCTGGTATATTCACAACACGATTTCAATTACAGTGGTTCAACGATTTTCCATAGTTCAAATAAATAATGATTCCGCTCTCTTAAATAGATCAGGCAGGCAGGATTCTCAATGGATCAACATCGCCACACGCTTCTCATGATGGTGCTACATCATATCAACGTTCAGGTGAGGGTACATAGCACTTTTTTCTTTGCATGTGGTTTTTGTTGTACATTTTTCATTAATAACTGTCCACAATTTGTTGTTTAGATGCTTTGCATGCATTCATGTCTGCAACAATTTTTTATTGTCAATATATTGTGCAGTGAGCCCTAACCTGGAGGATGGCAGCTTAGTCACTGGGACAATTGATGCAAAATTTGATTTTGGATACTTAATTACTGTGTACTCGGACTCTGGGAATTTGCAAGGTGTTCTATATCATAATCCTGTGGCACCAAATGTATTCCAGAGTCATACTTCTTCTGCCGACCCTGCTCAAAGTATCCGGAAAAGGCAGCATCTGGCATTTAAGGACCCAGCTCATCCCAAGCCAAATAGAAGTGGTTATAATTTTTTTTTTGCCGAGCATTATGGTAGGCTGAAACCTTTGTACCATGGGCAAGAAAGAGATATCAGCAAAAAAATTGGGGAGTTGTGGAATGGACTCACAGAGGCTGAAAAACAGGTACTGTAAATTCTATATATACTGTGAAATTTCTTCTCTCTGCTTGGGAAGGGTATAACACAGCTTTAACAGTTGGCGATATAAATTTTTGATTCCAGTTTCTTCATTGACATGTATGTCGTGTTAACGTGTGTATGACATATTTCTCCTGATAATAAGAGTGATAGACTCCAAGCAAACAAGTTAGAAGAGAGAGAGTGAAAGACCAAAATTAACATGGTTTGTCGAAGGTTGTGAAAGATCTAATTTTGTTGGATCTTCTGGTAGATGTAGCCTGGAACCAAATAGAATGGCAAAAATTGATTTATTTGGCGGAGCCAAATTTGTTATCTTACTCTACTCATTGATTTTAAGCTAGGAAATTTTCATTTTAATATTTTGGCAACTTTCAGGTTTTGTTAGAAATTCTCAGTATAAATAGGATGATTAATGAATAACTTAGAAAATTGATTTGACATAGTCAATGATAATGAAATTTTTCTAACAATTTTCTCCTCCTCCAGCTTCACCTCTCCTTGTTCTTGCCTCTTTGTGTTTCATGCTCTGCATCATTAACATTTTTCATTGGGGTGGGTCACAAATTTTATTGAAATATATGGCCTCATAAGTAAATGCAGCATGCTAGCTATTTAAATTGTTGTCCTTGAACAATTCAAAGTTTCTTTAATAGTGTGCATTTTGATTTTTTCCCCCAAAGGCCCAAACAATCCCTCACCCTACTTCCCACCCTCAACAAGTGTTGGACACATTGACACGTTATTTTTAAAGAAAGTATTGATATGATACGTCGCCGATGCATTGATTAAATTATTTCAAATTCTTCATATTTTATAAATTTAATTTTATACTCGATATTAAATTTTCTTGTTGAAATCTTTTAAATACGAGTACCTATTTATTTAATAATATCTTTAAATTAAAAATATATAATATTTTAGATAAAGGAAGAAAAATGACTACACTAGAGTGTTCAAGGGGTGTCGGTATCCGACACATGTTGAACAAGGGCACGCTTCCTTAGTTGAAGTGTATATACAACTGAGAGTGTTTTTATATATGATCCTTACCACTTGTGAAACACTGCATATCTTATTGAGAGAGAATCGTCGTTACATTCTTTTTTACTAACTTTTTTTGTCCCTTTGGAGTTCAAACATAATCTGGGTTGTCAGTTGTCGTCTTCTAGATGTGGCTATTAGATGTGCAGGCGGTTTTTCTGAATTTTTGAATTCTAACTCTAATGATGAATCGTTCTGGGAAATCACATTTCCGACTTCTTTTTCATCAAAGCAAAAGGGGCTGTTGATGCTGCATTTAATGCTTAGTGCTCCCATGCCAGCTATTAATTTCTGTCTCACCCTTCATCTTTTCCATTTGTTGAGTGCAAGGGGCTGTGGATGCATCGTACATCATTTATCTCTAGCTTTTTTTTTTTTTTTTTTTTTTTTTTTTTTTTTGAAATTCTCTTTTTTCTTTCTAATTTCCAAACTTCACATTTGTTTTTTTTTTTTTTTTTTTTTTTTTTTTTTAATGATTTTGCTGAAATTCTCTCTTTACTTTCTAAATTCCAAACTTCACATTTGTCTCACTTATTAAAATTACAATAAAAGATGGTTGTTGAGATAGGAACATTTTAAAACTTCTGAACCAATATTATGATGATCGTGGCAGAATTTGCTGATTGATTTCTTCTTGTCTATAGAGCATTGTTATTTTATCCGAAAGTGGAAAAGATCAAGTCCCAGTCTACTTGGGTACAAAACTATGTAGAACAAATGTTTATGACAGAAACTTCGTATCTTTCTCATCAATCATATAAAGCTTCAATGAATTGTACAGAAAAGAATGAAAAGTGACTTGCATTCTCATTTATATTTTCTTGCCATGTATAGCTCAAGAATTACAGCACCAGATTGAAGTAACATAGAGTCTGTCTATGCTCTCTTACAATCAAAGGAAACAGAATTACAGCTCACACTCTGTTTTGGTGCTATTTAGGTTTATCAAGAAAAAGGGTTGAGAGATAAGGAAAGATACAAAGCTGAGATGTTGGAGTACAAATCATCTGGTCACCATTTTCAAGCTCAATAGGTTTCACCCTGAAAGCAATACGCTAGCTGGCATTTGCTTCGCATCAAAATATGGTGTCCATCTTTAATTTTAGTCTTTGTTTTGGTTGTCTTTTTGTTCTCTTTATCTATAGAAAAAGATGATTGCAGAATGCTGCCCTTTAACTTTTCCTCTTGATGAGGGAAAAAGATCCCCAGGGGCATGTGACGCAGCAAGGAGGGGATGATTTTTGTGTGAAGTGTCTTGAAACTGTTTTTTTTTTTAGCGTTTGCATATGCTGCATTTTAAACTTTCATTTGCCGTATGCATGTGTTTAATGTAGATTCACTTCATTGTCTTCTCGTCGAAGCTTTGCCCACATATTGTTGGGCTTTCAGGAGGTCAATTAGTTTTCAGGTTATCGTTTCTGGTATTCATTGTGTGTAAGTTGTGTAACATGCGTGTTCGTAAATCAGTTTACAGTGCCCAGATATTGGCATAGATGGTTTACTGGAGATTTTCAAAACCATGGCTGAAATATATGTCGACTTGGAGAAAAGTCTCAATTCGTTAAAGACCAAGCACAGTAAGCGTGTTTTTTTCTGAAAAATTATCAACATATTTGTCATTTTTAATTAAGGTTTCAGTCAATGATATCTTTGTCATGTTTCACATATTTGTCTAGTCAATGAACATGACCCATGTTTAGTTAGACCAAAAACTTGTCGTGTTAAAAGGGCGTGGCTTCAAATTGGATTTTTCGAAGGGTAGAGAGACCTTTAGTGTTCCCTTTAGCCAAGAATCGGAGCTTCATACTCACTAGTCAATAGACTTTTCATTCACGCATTTTTTTCGTCCGTAGTTGGATATTTTGACATGCTAGGCATAGAGGAATCATATCAATTCATCCCGAACTTTATGGTTGAACTCTACTGTAGTTACGAACGATTTTGTAGGGAGGTCACATAGAAGAATAGCTCGATGTAGGACAATAAAATGTTCAACACATCTTATTCTTATTCCTTTTTTAACGGAAAAAATAAAAAAATAGTTTTATTCAGAACTCCAATTATGACATCTCTTCTCTCCCACTAAATACTTTGAAACACGTCGACAAGTCAATTTTGGTGCCACTAACTTATTGGTTAAGGAGTTTTATGGTAGGGTTTATTGTAGGGTAATTGATAATATTAAAGAAGCAAAAATTGTTTATTGCATATAAATTAATGTTGCATTGTAGAGAGGTCATATCTAATTTAAAAATATACTTTATATTGCTATGTTTATTGACGGGCAAAGGAAAATGGACTAAAATTATGGAGAAGAGCTAAAATCATACTAGTGAAACTAGTCTTTAAAGCAACGTATAAACTGGTATTAATTTTCAATCAATATGAAATATCTCGAGGGAAAGAACCCGAGACGATATAGTGCTTGTTTCGGAAAGCTTAAAAAATTGAGGTCAAATTCAATAATTAATTTTAAAAACAAATTTCGTAGAATTCACAATCTTTATCAATATTCTACTAACAAATTTCATTAATTTCTATCAAAATTTGTTAAAAATTTTATAAAAAACTTTGGCAAAGACCGTAATACAATGCAATATTATGGGATGTGAATTTGAGATTTAACAATAAAATTATAGTAGAAGTCATTTTTTTTTTTTTTATTGGTCTTACGTTTTTTTGTATAGACAACAATTGAAGGGTTGGAGTATTTGACTAATTGACAAACTTAATTATGGTAATTAATACAATTAAAGAAATAATTAAATATTATAGTGATTTTGATATAAAAGATTGGATTACTTGAGCAAAGAAATTAATTCGCTTCCCTTTCACATTCAATATACTTCCTCTCCAATTTGATTTTTTTTTAAAAATAAATTATCCAACGTGTTAATAGCTAAAGCAAAGAAAATTGGAAAAACTATATAAAAGGCATGGGATACTCCTTAAGATTTCTAATGGTGGCATAAAGCATCCTTTCTGGATACTTAAAATTAGGAAGGAAAAAAAATATGAAAGTTAACCAAAATCTTCATTTACTCTTAACAAAATCGTGAAAAAATTTTAATGTTGATTTATTTAGGTAAACAAGACTCGTCGAAGCAAAAATTCCCGTGATTATGCTTGTTTATTAAGTTAAATGGAAAAGGAAAAAGGATTTTTTCTAACTGTTTTTTTTTTTCCTGATGGATGTACACAGAATCGCCATAAGAGTTCTTAGCTGGGCAACTGTGTTTATCTCCTCTAAGTCTTTGATCTGGAAAATCTGCTTCAAATTCGGTTCAGGGATTTTTCTCTTTTGAGTACTTATTTCTTTTTCTTCAGTTCTTGAGGTCTTTTTCCGTGCAAGTTTTAGCCATCACTTTCCCACAACTACTCCACAGTTCATTAGCCACCTTCCCCTTTTTGCTTTATAATATATATACACACACACTGCTGTGGAAAATACAGAAACGGCCGAGGTGGGGTTGTTCTTGCGTTCTTCTCAATGGTGGATGATCAAGATATTCAGTCACGGTCAATCAAGAAATACGACCATAAATCCCAGGTATGTGGACCTTTTTTTGGAGAAGGGAATCTGTTTATTGAGATGAAAATTCTGAAAAATGAAGAGGAAGGAATCGAGGAAGATCAGAATAATGGCTTTCAAGAGCAAGATCAAATGAATAATAATAAAAGGGTTTGTCGGTTTTGTAACAAAGTGTTTAGTTCAGGTAAAGCTTTAGGTGGTCACATGAGAATTCATGTTCAAGCTAACAAAGATCTGGCTTTCAAGAAGAAGCTCAAAGCCTATCAATCTGTCAAGTTCAAGAAACAGAAGTATCTGCCTGAAGATGAGGATAGAGTTATTGATTTTGTGAAGAAGAAGAAGCATTATGAAGGATACAATAAGAATCAAACTTGTATAATTTGTCGTAAACATTTTCCATCAGAGAAATCGCTGTTTGGGCACATGAGGTGCCATCCTGAGAGAGACTGGAGGGGGATTCACCCCCCTACAATGGCAAGAAACAGCTCATGGTCATCTTCTTCGTTCGATGCTGAGACTCAAAAAATGGATGATCAGATTGATAATTGGGTTGATTTGACAAAATCATTGAAGGGTTGGTCAGTGACTGCGAAGAGAGGCCGCAACGCGATGGTGGCATCAAGCTCAGAGATTTCGAGCTTGGAAGATGATGAATTACGGGATGCCGTTAATGATCTTATGATGCTGGCTCATGGGGACTCATACGAAAGTGGCCTAACAAATAGGCAAAAGGTTGATGAATCTGATGCTGCAAACAGTACTTCACTGAATTCCAAGGCTGAAGTTTGGGACATTAGTCCGGTTTCTAAATTGAAGAAGCAAATAATTGAGGAAACTTATATCGACGAATTGGGATCCTCTATCTTTGAAAATCTTGAATATTTGCAAGCGAAAAGTGTGATAGATGTAGGCGAAGCGACAGATGTTCCCAGAACTGGGCTCATCCTTGAAAAACCCGTAGTAGAATTCGAGCATGAGGATTCCTCAGATGACAAGAAGAAGTATTCAGAGACTAGTTATGGTAACGTGACAAAGAAGAACAAGAAGAGAAGGAAAAAGGTGAAATTGAGTGATTTGGAATTGGTACAAAATGCTAGTCCGATGTTAGCACTTCAGCCTGATAAGTACAATTGCAGCACTTGTGACAGGTCCTTCCCAACACACCAAGCACTGGGTGGCCATAGGTCCAGCCACACAAAAATCAAGATTTGGGTCGACGAAGAAATTTCAAATCCCATTGTCCAATTGGCAGACGAAACTAAAGAAAGTGAAGCTAGTAACATATGCAGGAGAGCGCTCGATTTCGATCTCAATGAGGTTCCTCCACCTGAAGATGAAACCGGTATAGAGTCTGAACTAGTAGTTAGTAATTAAGGTTATGCATCTTCCTCTTATAACTCTAATTTCCCTAGTTAATTGAACTTCAATTCGTGTTATTTTCTGCTTATAATCAGCTAAGAAGTTATTATTCATAGGCGATCATGTTAACAAATTTTAGCTTCTTGCTAATGTTTTAATCAGTTGGGACAGACGGTGAAATAGGAACCATGATGGGTCATGCTTTACCTGTTATTCGTTATTCTGTATGATATAGCTAACTGTCTCTCGAACACAGGTTTAGGCTCGGTTCGGTTCAAACGTGGGACCACGTCTCCTGTTTGATTCTTACTTAAACCGTGGCTACGTTTGTCTTTTGTGTTTATTTTTCTTCAAGAAACAAGGATTTTGTGAGGAAAACAAGTACAAAAACTGAAGGCGTAAAGAGGCTGCTAACACATGATCCCCTTGTCAACTTTAAGTTGTGTGGGGACAATTTGCTCATCATGCTTGTCATCCCTTGAAGATTAATAAATATATATGTAGAATTAGCTCAACAAAATTGAAGCTAAATCTCTTGCAGGTTTACACTAAATAAATGGTTGAATCAAATTTTAATTCATTTGATATAAAAGTAAAAGTTTGACTTAACGGAAGCTTGCAAGTTTCAATTGCTTCTTTGTCAAACTTTCGATTTTTCTTGATATTTTAATAAAAAGTGATGAAGATTTCTTAAAAAAACATTCTACAATTTTTTTAGGATAGCGCTATTTTCATCCACACTTTTTATAAATACATCTCACTCTAAGTTCATTCCTAATAAAATTTTAAAATTAAAAAAAATACTATTTACATACACGTTTTATTTCAATCTTGTCCTTACTAAATTCATTCATTTAAATAAAATATATCCATATAAATTTTATATATTCATCTCATTTTAAATACATCCCCAACACCAATTCATTTTATTTTTTAGAATCTATAAGGAAAATTCGTACTAGAATGCAAATATTCACTACGCATCATTCATCATATCAGTAACAAAATTATCTAGTCTTGACAAAGTTACGAATTTATCATAAACATACATAAAAATTGAACTAATAATCACTTGTGAAGAATAAAAAATAACAACAATTTGTTCAGAAAACATATAGTAAAACAGACATTAAATGTGTAAAATTTATTTGGAACTAGATTATCAAGGGAAAGTGCGAGTACTTTAGTAATCATGTTTACATAACACCAAAACAATTTCAAATTAAGTCCTCCGATGACTACCATTGCCCACAGTTTAGCTTCTTCCTGAAAAATTCCATAAACATCTTAGTATTGAAGAACTTGAATTCAACGAAGTTCCAAGTGATGCATTGTTTTGATTAACAGAACCTTTCAGAATCAAGCATCGGCTGTTTTGGGGATGAGAGAAATGGGCAACTGGCCTTTCTCAGAGCCTTTCATCTTGGCTTCTTGCTCACGGATCTTTTGTATCTGGAGCATTCTCTCCATAACAAGCTCATACTTGTACTTTTCATAGGTGTGGCGCTCCGCCTCCCACTTTTAGGGCAAATAGAAAAAACACGGTGCAATTCTAGAACGTGGTGAGAAGAAGTGGAGTAGTAGGTGAGGAGAATCTTTCTCTAAGAGTTTTCTGGAATAGAAACTATTTATTTAGGTTTTGAGTGGTGTTGTAATTCTAGAATGTTTTAATTACACTAATTATATGATTTCATCAGTTAATAGGGTAGTGATCAAATTAGTCAATTCTTTAGAGTATTGCCTAATTTTCCCTAATTATATTCATGTAATTTTTCTTAATCTATTAGGATTCTAGTTAAACTCAAATTCTAAAAGAATAAAAAAAGATTTAGGATAATTTAATGAAAGTAAAAATTAGTGGATCAATTTAGAGTTTTGTATTTTTATTTAATTTTGTTTATGTCTATTTAAGTAAATTTGCATAGAATTTAAAATTTTCTTCAAAAGTGGATGTACTTATAAAAAGTGTGGATGAAAATAACGCTACCCTTTTTTTATTTATTAAAAGTTACTTATTATAATTAAGCTAGAAGCGAAATTGGGAGTATATTCCACAAAGAATTTCGTCCACGTGTGGGGACACTGGAAAATGGTCTTAATCATCCTCTTACGTTACTTTTATATATCAAATGAGTTAAACTTTGAAAACATCTTTATGGTAATTATAAAATTTAACTTCTTTGAAACTGTATATTGGCTTTCATGTTAGTGTTCTTCCAATTCAATCGCAGCCTCTTAACAAGTCAAAAGTAGCTGTTTTTATTCAAGTTTGATTATTATATATATGAACTTTTAGTATCTGCACGGTAATATTAGCTAATACAAGTCGATATTTGTGACTTATACATGTGCTAGCACAAGCTTTCATGTGTACAAACGATATGTATATTCGCAAATCTTTGTAACGACTCATTTGTTGATACATATATAATGTAACATGTGTGTCCGATGTTGATGTTTTGTACTACAGAAACTGGGGTTGGAACTTGGAAGTAAGTGAATAGAGAAATCTCAACTAATTTCTACACATTTTCGTGACTATATGAAAGCAACCATATGCTTTTGACTTTCTATACACACAAAAAGGGTTCTTCTATTTGTCTTATTTCTGTTTAGAAATTACCATATCTATATGCATTATTTTGAATATCGTGTATAAATAGTATAACCCCTTGGTGAATTAAGTAAGTAAATTAGTGAGGAATAAGCTATGCATGAGAGTTGTTACACTTAATTGTGATGTCACGAGATAATATATATGGTAAATCAAATCAATGTCAATGCAAAACAAAAAAGACCAAGTCAAAGTCCAAATGAAAATTCGAATATGCCTTGATTAGTTGAGACGACACAAAATTTTGCGAACTTGTATCCTTGCATAATCAGCCAAAAAATTTAATGAGGTGTAATACTCCAATTTGCCAAAGAGAAGGTCAAGTTTGAAAGCTAAAACTCTTGAGATGGCAATCGATACCATGGTCTGATCTAAGAGAGTAGATTTTGAAAGAGATGATCAACTAAGTGTTACATGACACGTGTTCAACAATCGAAGACAAGAGATACTTGTGAACATGGGCGGGGGTAGTGGGGGCTGGGATGGGCTATAGCCCAGCCCAACCCCCAGCCCATATAGAGGGAAAAAACCATATATGCATCTAAAAAAAAAAAAAGAATTCCATATGTACTATATCTTCTATAATATATCCAGAAATACTAATTGAGGCATAAAATTAAATCACCTAATTTTCCTCCCATCATCTCTCTGTGATTGATATCTAAAATATAGAGCACATATTACGGTTATTAATGAAATTCCCAAAACATTAGCAAAATTATGAAAAAAATTAAATAGACAATTGTAACGAGAATTTGATGAACAAGTTTTCAATAGGAGCATCAAATTAATGTGCGATCTTGTTCACTCACTTCACAAATTTTGGATTTTTATTACTACTGTAATACTTTATAATCCCAGGTAATACATATTAGCTACAAAACTTACGTACTCACTGAATCTTGAAAATATAATTTTCTGCTATTTTACACCATATGACATCTCTGAAAATTTGTGAAGAACAAGTATTACATTCCTCAATAATTAACAGATTTTTGGGTGAGAATAAATAAGCACGATGTGATTCAACAAGAGTTCATATCATGAACCTGAGCCATTTGTTTCACTTGTGTATTCTATTCTATATGTATGGTTAACCCGGCGATGGGACGTTCACCCGACTCGCTATGAAACAAGAAAACCCACTTCGAAATAATACGATGCATTCAATGAAAATGAAGGTAATATATTTATATTTTTATGACCAGTGAGTTTATTAAGAATTATTTGATTCAACGAAGAAATATGATAACATATATGATATTTGCTATGTAGTTGATATATAACATTTTATTACAAGCTTTCTCAGATATGGATATATTGTCGTTAGAATTTCTAAAATACATATATTGCACTATGATTTCATATAAATGTTAACTTTCTCCAGTACAATGAACACAAGTTTCTCCATCAACAAATTACATGTATCAAGTCTTTGACGCTAATACAATGCACCTAGTAGATTAGAGAGAGTTGACTTGCACTCGCAACTAGTTCCAGTTCGATGGGGTTCCCTATCCACTTTCACTAGCTGTAATTAGGGTGAATGGAGAACAACCCTACAAATATTGTCCTCATTACGATTTAAAGGAGTCTTATGTTGACACGTACATTGGTAGCATCGTCCACTCGGTGAGGCCTAAGAATACAAGTAAGGAGAAGAAAAAGGGAGAGCGTATACAACCAACAAGATGTGGACGATATAGTGGAAAGGGGCACAACAGAGGAATATGTAAGCAGGTTGACCACTAAGTCATGTGCAAAGAGGTAATCGTGATTCAAGCGTGAACGGAAATGAAGAATAGTTACACAATGTGTTAATCGTATGATGTCAAATTTATTTATTCTTTTAAATACTTGGCGATCGATGTAGGTAAATAACTATTTTCGAGAAAATAATAAAACTGATGGATGAAGTGTTATAATTTGATCTAGATGTTGTAATGTATCAGAATTGTTTCGTGTTATCGTTCCTAATTTCGGATTGTGTGCGACTGCATACTTCACATTATCATGATGTGATGAAATCCGTAGTCAAACTAGAAATTTATATACTTGTTTTACTGTAGATTCCATCGTGTATAGTAGCTATTTATAGTTATATAAACTTACTGGTGTTTTTTTGCATTTATTTTCATGATATCCGAAAATTTGTCCATGGTCTATCGTAGATTCTGTTGGATGAAAAATGGGTTTACTAACTTGGATTGACTAAGGCTTTTAAGAGGACAACACTAATAGGAAGAAGGAAGTGAAAAAAGGGAACTTATATTTCTCAAATTCAAGACTTTACACACGTTTCGGCTTGTTACAAAATGGAGGGCACTACCCCCTTATATAGTGTTTACAAGAAGATTCTAGTCCACACATTTTCTAGAGACACTTAGACCATATATCAAGATATTTTCCTAGAATTCTCTAGATATTCTTTATAAAACCACATATCTTACTTAGATATTTATATAGATTTTTCTAGATAATACTTCTAGAAATGCTATGCATGTTGGGCCTTTTAATTGATTTGAGCCTATAAGCAAAATCCTTAAGCCCATATTATTTAGTCCAAAAATCAAATTTACTACTCAACATCCC